GATGGCCTGGGACAGGAAAATCTGTTTGGGAGTTTTCACTTCTTGCTATTTACAAAAATTGTTTGTTTTTCTCTGAGTCGAGGGTGGGGTGGGAGGAGAGTTAAAACTTCAGAAGAGGAGCGAATAATTAGTTTGCCGACCAGAGTCGGTAAAAGACCTATCTCAGCCGGCAGGCGATCAATACTCGGCGGTTGGTTCATTCATTAACCCTTTGTGATCCTGCCCGAGCCTAGGATCCAGTAGATGTACCCTCCACCCCGTAATTAAAAAACAAAACAAAACCCAAAAATCCTTAGCCTTTATGGCTGGACTGGATTTGTCTGCATTCTCGCCTGGATTGTCGGTTTGTTTTTCTTTGGTTGTTTTGGTGAATCGATTTTCTGCTGTCATGAGTGAACCTGAAACTCTGGCGTTGCTCTCAAAGTTTGGGGCTCCCCTTTCTCATTCTGGACCAGCTGCGCTCTCGGTCCTCCCACCAGACTCGAAGCAGCCAGAAACTGGTGGGGCGGAAGGCAGTCCTAGGGGGTGACCGCGTCTCCATAAGCCTCGGGTTTCGATTTTTTTCCCCTTGAGTCTCTATTCTAATTCTCCGGAACCGGGGAGCCCCAGAACCGGGTCCTCTGGAGGCAGAGGCGGCAGAAGCCGGCCCACGGGCGGGCGAGATTCCTGTCGCGGCGGCGCCGCACGCACTCTCCCGGCCGGACCCGTGTGCTTTGCCGGAGGAGTAGCAGAACAATTTAAAAATAAGTCGCGGAGAACGACCCGCTGCCTCTCCGCCCTGGGGTTCAAGTTCTCCCAGAGGTTAGATAAAAGAAAAGGTTTTCTGCAGATCGTGGCGGTCAACCCCCAGGCGGGCACTACCGACCCTCCCCTGTCCCAGGTTTCGGGCGGGCGCAGAGGTGGCGAGACTCGCAGCGACCGGGCGGCTGTGCGGTCCGTGGAGTTCAGTATCCTGGGACTAACCCGGCCAAGGCAGCTGTTGGTTGGGTGCTGCCAGGTGGAGATTCGGCTGAGGCAGCTGGGCTGGCATCCCCTAAGCGTGCCTCGGAAGTCTTTGGCCCCAGCGGGTCTAGTCGCACGGGTTGTGCAGAGGCTCTGAGCTCTGCGCCCCGCCAGCCCGCCTCGGGAGAAGTGCGCGGCTCTGGTCAGAGCAGACCCCCTAATGGGACTATTGCTGTATTCCCCCCACCCCCGCAGGGAACGACACAAGCCCGGAGAGTTTCCTTTTGCACAACGCGCTGGCCCGAAAGCCGAAGCGGATCCGAACCGCCTTCTCCCCGTCCCAGCTTCTAAGACTGGAACACGCCTTCGAGAAGAATCACTACGTGGTGGGCGCCGAGAGGAAGCAGCTGGCACACAGCCTCAGTCTCACGGAAACTCAGGTGAGTGCCGCTCCCGTGCGACGACCCCATCCAGGCGGTACCCCTGCCTCAAATCTCTGGACACAAGCAACTGCTCTCCACCACACTCACAAGTGCGGACCTCGGAGGGCCTTCGGTAAAGGGCCGGGGAGCTGGTTCCACTCCCAGGCTCGGGATTTATGTTTCCGGATGCCGGGCTTTTTGGGCTCTAACAAGGGGCTAAAAGAGCCGACCCAGCCCAAGATCTGAGAAGACCTGCGGAGTTGCTGCTCCCTCTGCGCATACAAGGCGTGCTTTATATCTGCTGGCTAAAACTTCGCGCTTTTGGTGAGACTTCTGGTGAAAGTCCTGGGGACCCCCCCGCAAGCTTCCAGGAAGAAGGAAAGGGCAGCGTGTTGCCCAATTGTTTTAGGCTGGAGAGGGCAGGGAGTGGGGTAAGGGCACATCTGAGCGACTGTGGGCTCGCGCTTACGCCATAAGCTCCAGTTACTGCCCTGAAGGGGACAGAAGAATCAGAAGACAGAGGCCAGGAGTCCTGTATGCACCCTAAGTCGGAATAATAAAGCTGGAAGGCCGCAGAGACGGTCTTTCTCAGGGGACAGGCCCTTCTGCATAGGGTCCTTAGGCAGACCTGGCTTGGGTTTGTCCAGGGCTGGAGGGCTACAGTAGGCGCTACTGTACGGAGCTGCAGGGCGGGGTCAAAGTTCTCAGTAAACAGTAACGTTTTCGGGCAGATTAAGTTGTAACATTTTTTTTTTTCTGGGAAGCGCAAAAAAAGGTCGAGGCTTTTGTTTTAAAACGTACCTCCCAGACAAAACCGAGGAGGGCCTCGCGCAGTTTTGTGCCTGGCCAGCACAAGGCGTGGCCCGACTAATTTCTCCTGGACAGCAGAGGTGGCGGTGGTCTTTGTCCGCCTCGCTGCCCACGCTGCCTGGAGTCTTTGTGTGCGTGTCAAGCCCCGAGCGCACCGACGCGCGCCTTGGGCGAGCGCCGGGGAGAAATGAACCGTCCTCCCCCTCAATTAGCAAACTCAAAGCAAATTAAACTCAGCCTTGTTCCCGCTCGGCTTTTTCACGGGGCACTTTGGGGAACTGGGGCATTGGGGAGAGTTAGCCCGACCAGTCTTCAAAGGAGGGAGTAGAGCTAGAGCGGACCTCAGGGGCCCAGAGGCTGGGCTGGTCTGCGATGCTGCTACCAGGTTAGCTCAGGCCCCAAGGGCATGGGAGGTGTGCATAGTCACTGCCATCTCTCACCTACACTCCACTGCTAGGAAGCCTGGACAGTATTATTGTCTGTTCTAGTTTCTGAATGGGGACCCACCACCCAGCTTCCCCAGGGGGCCATCAGATCACAGCTGACTCCCACTCCATTGCTCCCAAGACCTGGAGGAACAGCTCTGGGGGAGGCCACACTACCAGCACCGCCCTGGTAGGAAGTGATGTGATCCGGGGGTCCTAGCTTGACCCTGGTCTCTTCTGGGGTTGGTTAGTGTTTGTGTATGGGGGGGGGGACATCTCTCTCGTTCTCTCTCTCCCTCTCTCTCCTCCCCTCTTCTCCTCTTTCTTGGTTTCTCTTACTTCTGCCCCACAGTCTTTCAGAAGCTTTCACTTTGAGTCCCTGTCTCTAGCTGGAAAGATACATCTGGTTTGGTTCCCAGCCTTGCAGCCCTCACCACTTTCTCCAGGCTTCCTCCAGCTCCACACCCTTCCTGCTCACCTGCAAGAGTTCCTACCCACAAAGGAAAAAAAAATGATCGCAGCTCAGGCGACCCTGATGGCCTACTCAGGGCCCCAGCCTGGCAAAGGAGGCGCTATATTTAGGCAAAGGCGCCCAGACCGGCAGAAAATAGAAAGCACATTGGGCCCTACGGGAAGCAGCAGCCACCACCGCAGAGGCTGCAGCAGCCGACTTAGTCTTTCTTGCACTTGCTTGCAGGAGGGAGTTAGGGGTGACTCTCTATGTCCCCTTGTTGTTTCCACAGGGGTTTTTCTCACTTTGCAAGGCCCTTGTTCTCATTTCTTGCTGAGAGGGAGGTCTGTGAGGGTACCCAGTGCTGGGCCAGGCTAGGAAATGCTCCGTAGGCTATGGGCTCTTCAGAAGGGCTCAGACCAGAGAGCTGGGCTTCCCGTGGGGAGGCCGGACCTTAGGACCTGCATTTCGGGCACTGGGCCTTCGCAGTCTCAGACCAGAGTGTGGGAGCATGGAATGCACCGAGGCAGTGGGCCCTCGGTAGGAGCGGACTGGGGAAGAATTGACCGGCTTCCTTTGCCTCTCCTCTGCAGGTAAAAGTATGGTTTCAAAACCGAAGAACAAAGTTCAAAAGGCAGAAGTTGGAGGAAGAAGGCTCAGATTCGCAACAAAAGAAAAAAGGGACGCACCATATTAACCGGTGGAGAATCGCCACCAAGCAGGCGAGTCCGGAGGAAATAGACGTAACTTCAGACGATTAAAAACACAGAACCCCACAGACACGGACAACACGGAGCGAAACAGACAGGGCGAGGAGGGAAAGAAGAGAAAAACCCTATAAGATAAAAAAGCAAACCGCACACACATTCACCGGGAAAGGGAGAGGGGTCAGAGGGAGCCATGGCGCCCGTCGCAGACTTTGGGCAGTGAGGTAGCAGGAGTCCCAATCGGAGGCTGTGCTGGAGATCGCAGAAGACGGAGGCTCCTTCATCAACATGCAACCCTCAACTAAAGAGGCAGCTGAGTGAGTGAGTGAGAGAGACAGATTGAGGGAGAGAGAGGAGAGAGAGAAAGACAGAGAGAGAGAGAGAGGGAGGGAGAGAGAACCGACTGTTGCCACGCCGAATGCGCGCACTGACAAGGGGAGCTGTCAGTCAGACGCCAAACCAGCGAGACAAGATGATTGGCAGGTATTCCGTTTATTGCAGTCCACTTTAAAAAAATGATGATGATAATGATAAAAAAAAAACCCCAAACAACTCAACCAGGCACAGGACTTTTTATTTTGCACTTCACAATGTTTTATCCCCAATCTTAAGAAAATAATAGTCATACCAAGTGAAATTCCGTATCGAGCCCCTCCCACACCTGTTTCAAACACTCGAATTGCATGTAGCAGTTGTTGAGCGAATGGTGTCTAAAGACAGAAATGAATTGTAATTTTGTTTTCCTTCTAAAGCCAGGTTCTGTGTGCTTTTTATTTTGATTCTTTCCAAGAAATGTGCAGTCTGTAAACACTTTTTGATACCTTCTGATGTCAAAGTGATTGTGAAAAGCTAAATGAAGTAGGCTCAGCGATAGTGGTCCTCTTACAGAGAAACGGGGAGCAGGACGGGGGGGCTGGGGGTGGTGGGGGAGGGTGCCCACAAAAAAGTCAGTACTTGTGCTGGAAAAAAAGAACCCGAAATTAATGATATTTCTTGGACATTCCCTTTTCTAACATCCTGAGGCTTCAAACCATGAAGTAAACCTCTTGTTTTAGTGGTTGGAGAAATTGGCCAAGTTCAACCATTCACCGTAATGGCCATTCCAAACTTTCAATCTATCCATGGCAAAAACTGAAGGACTGTAGTTAGCGGGGAGGATGTTAAGTGTGGCCAAGGACATGGCGGCGAGTTTTCAAGCACTGAGTTTCTTTCTATCCCAAGATCATAGACTTACTAAAGAGAGTGACAAATGCTTCCTTAATGTCTTCTATACCAGAATGTAAATATTTTTGTGTTTTGTGTTAATTTGTTAGAATTCTAACACACTATATACTTCCAAGAAGTATGTCAATGTCAATATTTTGTCAATAAAGATTTATCAATATGCCCTCAGAGTAGTTGTCTTGGGAAATTCAAGTGGATCTTTTAAAAAGGTATCTCTATCATTTGAGTGTGCTTCCTCCCCATTGAGGCTCAAGAAACCCAGGCTTCCACCCACAAAAGGGACAGCCGATGGATTCTTGGGAGTTTTAAAGAGAGATGAAGGTAGAGAAGGGAGACAATTAGGAAAACTTAAGTCTTTCAGAAAAGAGATGGGAAAAAAAAGTTTTCCAGTCAGACTTTGCCATAGTGGCCGTGCTTAGGGAGGTTTGCTTGAACTTCAGGTTTAAAATGCTACTTCTCTAAACCTCTGGCCATTAGTATTTTAAAAATCTGAATATATAGTTATTCATTGAAGAACATCCCCCACCCCCCTCGCCCAGGATTGGGGAAAATGCTTATCAGAACCAGAGTCCTGAGACTTCTAGACTTAGTTTCTGACTTCAAACCCCAAAGCACAAGTCTCCCTCCTTCTCTCTGTCTCTTCCTTCCTTCCTTTTTTCCTGGCCCCAATTTGCCTGAGGTGATGGGATGAGCTCAAAGGGCCTTAGCCACCTTATAAGGCAAGTATTCCAAGAAAACCTTCAACTCTTAATTTTAACATTAAAGAAAAAGTTGTAACCAGTCTTGGAGGAAACTTAGCTTTTTTCCCTCCCGCTTTCCCCCTTCTGGGGGTACGAGGTTGTTTTTGCATGCTTCATTTGCTTCTTATCCTGATAGGCTGCATTAATCAGTTTTATTTCCATTGATAGAGAAACCTCGTCTGTTCTGTTCGAGCTACAAAGCGTCCTGCGAGCTTTTGTGAAAGTGCAAATCAGTTTAAGCAATTATCATACCAGGAATATGAAGGGGAAAGAGGAGGCCTTGCCCAGTGGTCTCCTTTAATCTCTTAATCCACGGATCCAGGGGGGCTGCCTGGACATAATTTAGGACAATCTCCCCACCCTTTACACTGTGATAAGGCCAAGTTACAATGCAGGGCAAAAATACAAGCTTTGTTAACATCCTGCCTTGAAAAGTTAAGATTAGACATTCCGTGCACGTGTGGAGACTATAGGGCACTATGGAAATTTTTCTTTCTTTTTTTCCTTCACTCTTCTAAAGTAGAATTCGTTCTCAGTCTCTCTCCCTTTTTTCTCCGCCTCTATATCTGCCTGTCTCCCCTTTCTTCTTCTGTCTCTGGTTCTCTGAGTGCATTTTTGCACAGACCCCGCGAGGAAGGTGTATATGCTGTGGAAGAGAGACCGCTCCGGGGGCATGCCAGGGTGAGGGGGGGCGGCCTCTGGGAGACCTGAGCTTGCCTTCTGTAGAGACAGATAACGACGGTTTCCCGCGTGGGGTTTCCAGTCACTTGTGCAATGCGACACTCAGTGACCACTGGCCTCTCTGGTCTCTTGCTGTCACTGTTCCGCCCCCGCATCCCTTTCACTTAAACAGGTACAAGTTACCTTTTCCTTCACCCCACCTTCCCAAACCTGGAACGCCTCAAAGACCAAGCACAGTCCCTCTAACATTTAGACGGCTTTTCCAGAAAAAAAGATTCTCATCTGGATAAAAGGCTCATGCCTGCAGGAACCCTATACTTTATTTATTTGGAAATAAGCAAAAGGAGTGGTAGTGAAGATTTTTTTTTTTTTGGTAAATGTCCTATGCAGTGTAACAGCAATAAAATCATCAGAGAATACTATTAGCTTTGAAAAAAAAAAAACCTAAAAGCTTTATTACAAACCAAGCTTTGAAAATAGGGGGGATTAGGCGGCTGAAAGGGTCCCACAATGGTAAGAAGAAAAGGTTTCATGCTAATGAGGTTAATGCCCTTTGTATCTCAGGCCTCCACATCTTCATTACGCGCTATCTCCGGCTGCACCGAGCGGCTCAGAGAGCCGCAATCCACTCCAACGCCCCCCTTCCCGGCCCAAAGAAGGATTTGATAGCAGCTCTGTTCAAACTAGATAATTATATCTTTTCAAGTCGGAATTAAGATAAAGAAAGTGAAGCAGAGGCGGCTCGCCTTGATCCACTGCAAACAAATTTGGCGCACTTTCGAGTCCTTCCCCCGCCTCAAAAAGGCAGGACAGTCAGCTTATTAGGCGCTCGTTTGCTTTATTAATTCATCTATTTAAAGTGGCAGGATTAAAGGGTCTAATGTGGACGCGGGCTGCCGTGGCGCTGAAGAATATAAATATTTGCGAGATGCCATCCCACGATGACTATCTGGGCATGGGGCACCGGGGATGGGGCGTGGGG